AGAGTTCAGTTTGTGACAGAGTTCCTGTCCTCTCGTCAGGCCTGTGCGAGGCCTGCTTCAAGGCAGTAAATCTTGTTTCTTCACTCGAAGTGACCCCTACACAAGTCTTTTTTATTCAATGTTGCAGTTAGATGTGAAATGTAAATAATACATCATGTGACCTTTTAGAATCTGTATTTAACTCAAACTGTGATAAAACATGCATTTTAAAATTGCACCTCTGTATTGCACTGTTCAATTAATCTTAGCTGCAAAAGTAGTCTCTCTTTAAACTATAATTTTCCATTTGTTTAATTTGATTTGCTGTGCTGCAGCTCATGCACACACAGGTACTGAAAGGGTTTTTTCTTTAGTATATTTCATTAAAGTTCATTGTGTGTGTATCAAATAAAGTTTTGAGTACGTTACAAATGTTTAGTTCAAAATGTGTTTTCTACAGGTTCAAAATGAGCCAGCGGATGGGAACTGCACTCAAGGCCAGTTCCTGTAAGATAAGATTGGTCTTGCTGCCATAAAACTGCTTGGGAGCAGTTTCTGTAAGATTAGGTTAAGATTAATTGTCGAAACTCCACATTTCTTCACATTCCTGTAAGTTTCCACTGTCCAGTACAAAAACAAGTATTCATTGTTCCTTTAAAGATATCGTAACCCCAGCAACGGCATTTTCATTGGTTTCTGTGTTTTTGATATACTCCAGCAAATGATGTTTTGATTCGCTGTTCTATTTGTGATGCAATATTTACGTATTCTAATAAAACGACTGTTCACGCCCACAAAGGTCAGAACTTCTCTGGACTTGCTGAGCCTTGAGCAAAGTTAAGTAACGAGAACTTCTCCTCTTTGCAAAGTGAATCTTCTAAAATCTCACTTTCCTCTGTTGTCATTGAATTAATGTTCGGCCGGGTTTGTTGTGTCTCTCTGAGTTCCTAGGTTAAAAAAAACCCGAACATTATTGGTGCCGTGACGTCCGGAGTTCGACGATCCCTACTGACTGGGAGAGGAGGAACGCGCTGAGACTGATGCGCATTCTGTCTGAACGACCCGGGGGTCGACGRTACTCATCCAGGGCCAGCGTTTCTTTAGGTTTCTTCTCGCCCTGTCAGTGGTGATTCGGCCGAATCTCACTAGACAGACAGCAGACACAAGTGAGTACTCGTTTTCTCGGCTTGTGTGCGAGAGAGAGTTGGAACAGAAACAGCGCTAGAGTGTTATTGTACTGATCGATCTGAAGATAAGAAGTGAAATACGTATTTTTGTGTTATTGTTGTGAGCGCTGTCAGGCCGAACTGGACAGATGTATTTAACTGTAAAAGCTGTCACGCTGGGTTAAATCCTTTGATTTGTTGTGAGGGGCAATCAACGCTGTAAGCTGGAGACGGGACGCTGACCCGGCTGCAAGCGGTGTGTGTGTGTGTGTTCTTGTTTCTCCCCTGTTGAGAGGAACAAGCGGCAGAAGGAGGTGTGTGTGTGTGTGTGTGTGTGTGTGTGTGTGTGTGTGTGTGTGTGTGCGTTCTTGCTTTCCTTCTGTTCGGTGGTGCAACACGGAGCAGTGAGCTGTGTGTGTGTGTGTGTGTGTGAATGCTTATCCCTGTTGGAGGGGACGAGCAGGCTGCAGCAGAAAGCGTGAAAGTGTGTGTGTTCTTTCCTGCTGAACGAGACGGCAGCAAAATACAATTGAATCCACTCTGAAACTTTGGATTCGGGATTATTTTCGCTCAACCGCCTATTAAGGAGTGTAAAAACGTTAATAAATCTACATTTGGTTATAAGGATAACGTCCTTTTTTTGTTTTTTTTCCTCCTTCTTCTCTCTGTCTGGAACAGCCGGCCTGCATTCCATTCAGAGATAAAGAGCTACAGCGTACAGCAGAAAGTTGTTTTTTTTTCTTTCCTCTTTTTCTTTTTCTTTTAGAAATCCAGCTGAACTTTATTTACACATATATCACATTAAAACACAACGCAGAACACATATATCACATTAAAACACAACGCAGAACACATATCACATTAAAACACAACGCAGAACACATATATCACATTAAAACACAACGCAGAACACATATATCACATTAAAACACAACCAGAACACATATACCCCATTAAAACACAACGCAGACCATAGATTTTATTTGTTTTTACACATAATTTAATAATAAAACAGCGGTCACGCTGGAGGTAACTTTACATCCATCATTACAAATCTTTTTTGCTCCAGAACTGAACGTGAGCGATCAGTCCCACCCCCTGGCACAGCGTATTCTGGCAAATCTGCAGCCTTTAATTGACGAGGTTAGGGAAGACTCGAACCTTAACATCGAAGTTCATATAACAACGAGACTGCCAGACATCCCCTTAGGATTTATAGAAATAACCCGTTACAGACAGGAAGTGTTACAAAACAGTTCAACTTGTCCATTTAATTTACCAGAGTTAAACTGATTTCATTTTGTCTAGATTTTATTTTTTTTAATGGAAGTCTGACTACAAATAGTTTAGAACCTGTTGATTCTCTTCCAGAGGAGCTTTGTTCTCCTCTGTGACTCTGGTCTGACCTCGGAGCTACAGCTGCAAGCAGCCGTCCCTCCCTCCCTCCTTTCCTTTTTCTTTCACACACAGAGCTGGGGGAACAGCCCGTTCCTCCCTCCCTTTTTCTCCTTTTTCACACACAGAGCTGGAGGAGCGGCCCGTCTCTCCCTCCACTCCTCCTTGTCACAGAGCAGCAGTGTCACACACGCAGTCAAGGGTTTCTTCTATTCTTGTGGGGACTTTGCATTGACTCCCATTCATTTACCGGTCATTTCTACAGCCTAACCCAGACACAGCNCGCAAGTCCATCACAGGGCCACACACAGAGACAAACAAGACAAACAACCATTCACTCTCTCAAGTTATAGTTATCAATTAACTTAACAGTCATGTTTTTGGTGTGTGGGAGGAAGCCAGATTACCAGGAGAGAACCCACGCATGCACGGAGAGAACATGCAAACTCTACCCAGAAAGGTTCCCGGGCCGGGATTTCAGTGTTGTATAAAGTACCTGAAAGTGATACTTGAGTAAGAGTACAAGTATCTTATCATAAAAATACTTTGGTAAAAGTTAAAGTCTTCTCTAAAAACATTACTTGAGTAAAAGTCTTAAAGTATTTGATATTTTTTGTACTTATGTATTAAAAGTAAACTTCTGACACAAAATCTACTTAAGTATTAAAAGTAAAAGTACTGAGTAAAAGTGAGCAGTTAGATTTTCCAAAATTACATTTATTGGGAGGTGACTTCTCCAAAAATATTTTTCTAATGACATGCAGCTATGATGGTTTGTGTACAACCTAATAGTGTGTCAGAATGGTAAAAATTTATACTTCTCATCCAACCTCAATTACATTTACTCTATCCATGAGAGACAATTTATCAGGATAGTATTTTTTAAAGCAATAACAACTCAGAATAAAATAGGAGTAACAACTTTCTACTTCTTACCTTTTTAAAAAATGTAGTGAGTAGAATGTACAGATGATTGTGTAAAAATGTAATGAGTAAAAGTAAAAAGTACATTGAAAAATAATTACTCAAGTAAAGTACAGATAACCAAAATTTCTACTTAAGTACAGTAACAAAGTATTTATACTTAGTTATTTTACAACTTTGCGGGATTTGAGCTGGCAACCTTCTTGCTGAGAGGCATCAGCTCTACCAATTGAGCCACCGTGCCGCCTGGCCAAAAACTAGATCTCCCATAATGCATGTGGATTATGCATGGGAATCTCTGTTAGAAAGTGGAAGAGTTCAGAATTTAAGATGGCAGCTACTCACCACAACTCAACAGTGAGTGATTGAATAGTTTGAATGGAAAAAGCTTTTATTTTTTTCAACGATAGTTCCTGTTTGAATGAACCTTTCTCTGAGTAGCTCTTCACTTAATTCCCAGTTTGATTCTCAAATTATTGCTTACTTATAAGTTCTACACAAGTATGTACACTGTAGGGTGACAATGGCGACAGGAGTTAGGGGGGTCATCCTGTAACCCGTAAGTTGCCAGTTTGAACCCCCACTTTGTCTGTCTCAGTCGTGTCCTTGGGCAAGACATTTCAGTTGCTTTGCCTGCTGGTCACAGCAGTGGTTGGTGCTGGTGCTAGGGCAACTGATGTAGCTCACTACCATCAGTGTGTGGGTTATTGTGGGTGAATGACTGCAGAATTTGGTGTCCTTGTACTTAATAAAGTGCTATATAAGTTTACACAAACCCTTTTAAAAAACAAAACTATACCTTCAAATAACACACTTGTCAGTTAGTACACCATTTTTTGATTCAACAATGGATCAAATTCACTCAAAACAACTCTATGGATAATCTTTAGTCCCATCATCACTCACTTATCTCTTGTCTTCCTCATACTTTATGGGGGTCTCTATACTTGGAGCATCTTTCCTCTTCCCTTGTATCCTACCTTCCTGGTATCATTCACTCTTCTTCTCCCTGTCTCTTTGCTCTCTGCATGAGCTCCTCTGGGTAAGGAGTTGAGTGGGCTTGTCTAGTGGCTAAAGTCAGGGGCTGGATTGGGAAGAGGTGACTGTCACAGTGTCTGATTAATGACCCATCGGTTGCGTGTCCAGCCACATTAGGGCTCCATGTATCTACCAGCGTCCACATGGGGCGAGGGGCTTTGTTCTGGGAGGAAATGGTGTCAGTGGCCCACAGCCGTTTGTGCCTATAAAAAGATAAAGATTTACTGTCATCAAAGGGCAGATTAAAGCCCACAATGGTGACATTGATTTTTTTTTCAAAGAAAAAAAATTCACATTTTGGGAAACCCATTCCAGGACTAGAGAGAGATATGATCAGCTTATTTGGAAAGGATAATATGGAATCTTCTCTCAGAATGAACTTTGAAAGAAGTAAATTGTAAATATTGATTTCTGAAATGAAGTGTCAATCTTGGTTGGTCCAAGCTTATTCCCATCATCTGGCTTAACCCCCAGCAAACGATGAATTCAAAACTGCTGACAAAGTGGAGTGTATAGGATTTCTGTTAGAGTCAGTCGGCACCGCTTTACTGCTTGGCCGGCCTGAGCCCTTACCGGTAATGGCTCTTCAATTTTATCAGATAACAGAGGAGATCTCATCAGAGGCGAAAAATGAAATGAACTGTGACTCTGAATCAGGATCCCTGCTCTTATCCCAGCAAAAATCATCGGTGCGGGGCCCAGGGCTTTCCATTATTTCAGGTCACTTCATTACGGCCCTGCACACAGGACCCAATTGCTACAAACAAAGCAGGCCCTTCCTGTCTCACCCAGGGGTCGAAAGTGAGGGGCAGTTTGATAGGTTCTTGACGTGTCCAGGGTTATCCTATTACCACTTAAGAGGGTTTCTGAAAGGCAGCAAATCTCGCCCACTTGTTTGTTATCCTTTTTCACCCTTTTGTATCATGAGAGGTTTTATTGCTCACCCTTTTTTCCCCCACTGTGGAAAATAATTCATCTTTTCTTGTTTAAGTCTAAAGTCGAATTTGTTCTTTGTTTTGTCATACAGGATGTGTGATGAAAATACAGTAAATCGATGAGCACAGGTTATGAATTATGTGCATAGCATTTCACATGCCATGTACTTATTTTGCTATTACTGCTTACTATCATGAAAAAAAGTTTCCTTATTCTTTTACTCTATCCCAGACTTTGAGGGAAAAAAGTTAAGTTTGTGTAAAAATACAGGAAATAAGGGTTCACAGCTACACGTGGAGCTGTAAATGTGTGTGTGTCTATGTTTCTCACTTGCAATAACGAATGAAATAAGCTGTTATCGCCTAGGAATTTGTAGCTTTGTGAGTAATTACAGTTTTTGTTCAAGCCTATATATGCTGAGTATTGATTACCAGAAGGATGGTGGTCAATACACATGGGGGGTAGTGGGGGGCATTTGGTGGGGCATAGGAGAAAAATGATGTTGGACTAAAGAGGGAGACTTGTAATAGGGTGATAAGATGAGCTAAAGGTAGCAAAACAAAGGCTGGGACTTCTTAGCACTTCTTGACTTATTTGCAGAAAAGTGATCACAGCTTTTTAGCTGAGGAGAAGTTAAGTCTACTTTAATTAATGTATTTTACTGCTATGGTGACAATTTTAAACATGCTTTTGAAAGCTGTTTTTTGGTTTTAAACGTCTTCTTTTGTCTTTACAAAGTGCTAAATCAGCTGAGAATGACCTACTCTACAAGTTCTAACCCAGATCTACTTCCCTATGCAAGGCTGAGTTACATTATTGTCCCAGTAGAGTTTGTCTTAAAGTTGTTGGTATTTTGCATGTTTTCTCAATGTTATTTACCTGCATCACATTTATGTTCTCTGCATGTTTTACCAGAGAGAGCTTGAGAAAAAAAAAATGTCAAAATTACATTATGAATATGTAAGACAAGCGTTTGAGCCATTTTGGAAAATTCAGTATAACAATGTTCTTTTCATTATTTATTTTGTGTTTTAAACATAATATGTGTGCTTGTAAGTGTATTTGTATAAATAATTTCAGAATTATACATTTTTGTGCTATTGTGAAACACTGTAAAGCAAACTTGTTGCAGCTTGTGTAACATTTGTTCTCTTTTAGGAGATATTCTAGATGATCAGCAACAGTTTGATTTTACCTTTTTTTTAATAGTCTATCATTCAGGCCCATTGAAATAAAAAATGGACAAAGGGTATCCCTGTCTGTTGTTCAAAAGTAAAGACTGGTAAGAAAAAGTTACTTTCAAAGACAGACAATATGCAGGGATTAAAATAAAAAACTTGGTGAATCCATGGAGACAGGAAATGCAGAGATTTTCAGAAGGGAGCACTCAGGAACCCGTTACACCCAACAAA